CTCTGGTACCTGGAAGCGTTATGGCCTTAGGAAAAAAAAAACAAACCAAACCACCAAAAACCCCCTCCGGCACGGCTGGGGGTGCACAGGGTGGGGGGAAGGAGGGAGGGAGGGAGGGCTCAGGGGAGGGAGAGGAGCTGAAAGAGCCTGAAACGACTTCTGTGTGCCTCTGGAAAACAGCTATGGAGCGATGCAATTAAGCACGTTAGACGTAGGTCCATGTCTCCCAGCCAGGGCACCCCCAAGGAGACCCAGCTCCAGGAGAGATCCGTGTTAGAGCAGCACCGTTGTCCGTGCTTTTACGCAGTGTCTCCATCCGCTTCGTTGATTATCGTTTTGGTTTCTTCTTTTCCTTTCTCTTCTGTTTCTTTCCCCCTTTCTTCTCCAGCCTCGTTTCGTTTTTGTGTTTCGGTTTGGTTTCTTTCCCTCCTTTTTTCCTTTTTGGAGTTGTTGACGTGCTGATGTGTTGCGGAGCTCGGCTCCTTGCGGGTGTTGATAACTGCTTTGTTTTTGATTAATCTCAGCTATCTGGGCAGTGTTGTCGAGACAAGCTTCTCCTCAGCTCAATAGGTAAGGGTGATCCATGTCCGAAAGGATGGTGTGGGCGCTGTGGAGGGTGGCCGGGAGCGGGGCATGAGAGGGGACACGGAAGGGGCTTTTCCAATACCATCTCTTCCTTTAAAGGGGAATAAGGAAATCCGAAAACACTAGGAAGCACCTCTGGACGCACAGTCTCTGTGGCTTTTGGGTTTCCCCTCGAGCAGCACGCCGCTGCTCCCCTGCCTTCGTGGAGGCGGTGGGGCTGGAGAGCCCGGTTGGTGGCCGCCGTGTCTTCACGTTGGGGTTTGGGATGAGCCAAGATGCTGTCTCCCCGTGGCCACCCTTTCTTGGAGGATGGTGACACATGGCACCCTCGGCTCTGGCAGGGCTTGAGGGTTGTGCAGTTTTGGGGAGGTGTTGAGATGGGGTTGTCCTGGACAATCCAAACCAGGAGGAGCTCATGGCCACCCCCTGGAGCCAGGTAAAGCAGCCACATCTGGAGCAAGCAGCTGCAGACCATGTTTTTGGAGTGGGGCTCCAAAAATCAGCCTCCAGATGCAATCCAGGATATGGAAAATTTTGTTCCCATCAGTACCTGGATCTGTTTTCTTTTTCCCAAGTCTTCTCAATCATGGAAAATGGGAGAAGTCTGTCTTTCAAGATGGACTATATGGTTGGGCGCAGCGTAACTACAGTTTCAGGATGCCGGTGAGGTGTCTTATCGTTCCCATCACAAGTGTAGTCATAGTGAAAACTCTCCTTCTCTGAAATACTCTTTGGAGAAGTCCCACAGCGTAACTATAGTTTCAGGTGAGGTGTCTTATCATTCCCATCACAAGTGTAGTAGTGAAAGCCCTCCTTCTCTGAAATACTCTTTGGAGAAGTCTTTTAGACTTCTTCTGACACCGCTGTAATTAAACAGCCCTCAGCAGATCTTGAAAGACTCTCCCAAGAACATACCTCTCAGGCTGCCTTCATGGGGCTGGTTTCCTAGATGGCCATGGGCATCCCTGGAACTGGGACGGGGTAATTGAGAGATGGTTTGTCAGACCTTAAAAGCAGAGAAAGTCACTAAAACTGGTGGTCAGATGGGATAATAATCATTCCTGACCCCAAGGATTGGGAGGGCTGACCCGTTTGGCTGTCAGCCGGGCTGGTTACGAAAGAAGAGGTGGGATTGCAGATGGGGCCTGGCTGTCCCCAAGCTTCCTTAGGCCACGTCTTACAAAAATTTAAGCTTTACCACCTTGGGTGGGAAGAGTGAAGGTTTTGGCCAATGCTCTCCTAAAAGCCTGAGGAGCCTTGTTGGACTGGAAAAGAGCCTCATGAGAGATGCCTAGAGAAATCAGGGAGATGTTTCCAGGAGAGGAGAATTCCTCTAGCTGATATGGAGGGTTGTCCTGGGGTGGGGAGAGCAGGAGAGGGGAGGACGGGATGTTGAGTCCTGGCGATGGGAGAAAGTGCAGGAGGAGCCATTCTCTTGGCATGGCAGAACCCGTCCAGTTCAAACCTTGCAGCCTCTGAAGCTCTTAGATACTTGGCCACCTTCTTCTCTTTCCCCCTGTCGATCCCAGAGCAGGGTGTCCCATGAGGAGCAAAGCTAGCACCAAGCTCTGGTGGCATCTGGGCTGTGCCAGGCTTCTTGAGAAATGGGAAAGCCCTCAGTGAGGACGTGGCTGTTTGCTCTATTCTTTCCCCCCGGTGCTTCCCATCTCCAGGAGCGTGAGGGACACGAGTAAATATGGCTTGGGTAGAGCAGAGGTGAGTCCAGGCGCACGTCGGAGTCTAGCGTGGCTCTTGCACGGATCCAGGCTGGCTCCTGCCTCTGGTGCTGGTTGCCACAGGCTGATGGGGTTTCAGGAGCATCCCGTGCCCAGCAGGACACTTGCTGAGGAGCATCCATGCATCCAACTCTGAGATGCTGCAGGGGTTGGAGTCGCGGGAGTGACTCCAGAGTCATTATCCCCCAAAAAGGGGAAGCCGGAAGAATAAATCTCACTTTAATAAGGGAGGAATCCTGTAAAGAGCCCAGCCAAGTAATTTCTTGATGATTTGGGGGTCATAAAATTGTCAGTGCGTGCGGAGCATGGGGATTTGATACCAGACCAGCCAGATTTCTCTACTGCAGTAATAAAAACCGAGAAGAGGAGGGGGAGAGGCAGTTTGCGGGCTCGGTGGTGGCTGCAGCACGGTGGCTTTCTCTGGGTGTGAAGATCAGGTATATTTTTTACCGATGGGCAGGGATAAATAATGCCGGAACTGAGTCGGCACGAGCCCGTTTTCCCATCTTCTTCTCTTCGGATGCAGCGCACAGCGATGCATCTCCTCATGGGGAAGAGGGGGCTGCCCGTCTCCCTGCAGAGGGAAACCCAAAAACCACAGACAAGGCACCAAGCCCCCCTGCCCCTTGGCACCCCAGCCTGCCCTGGGTGGACCCCCGGCTCCCACCTTCGCTGGGGCAGTGCTGGAGATGCCAGGAGGTGGGGGGCTTGGCCACAGCGTAGCGTTGGGTGACGAAGGGACATGGGTGCCAGGCGTGCGGGAGGAGGAGCACCCCTCGCTCCCCCCCCCCTTGAAAGAAAACAGGTTCCCCTTTAAAGACTGTCCATGTGCTGATCCTCTGCATGTGTTTCATGCCTCCTCCCGCTTGGAGAAGTTGTTGAGTCCGCTTGTCTGAGTGCGTTTTTTCTTTTCTTTCTTAATTATTCTTATTATTATTTTTTTCTTTTCAGTCTCTTTAATTTACTTATATATTTTCTGACTCCTGTTTTTTCATTTATCTTCCTCTCTTCCCCCCCTGGCCCCTTCCCCATGACTGTATCCCCCTCTTCCTCTCCAGTCCGGCCCCTTTTCCCTCGCCCTCTCTCCTCCCCTCTCCTCTCCTGTCAGCATGGTGAAGTCCGTTGTGTAGGTGAGTTGTGGTGTCTGCAGACCTGTAGAAGGGACCCCCTTCTCCGGTGTGCCCACCCCCCCGGCTGTGACCAACCCCTTCCTCCCTCATTGCGGTGCCTTGGCAGCAGCAGCAGCAGCTCCAGGGCAAGGGGCCATCACCGCTGTGTTTTTCTGGCACCTCTCGTGCTGAAGGACCTCAAGAGATGCAGGATGGCATCCCAGGATGGTGGCCAGCACTGCCTCGGAGCAGAGGGGGAATTCCAGCTTGCAGGACGTCTCATGGGATCACTTGAGCTTGAGATGGAGCCTTGTGTAGGAGAATTGAGCTCTTCGGCTGAGGAGGATGAAGGGTTGAAGGACACAGTGGCTGAGACACGGTGGGCTCCAGTCCAAGTGGATGCTCTGACTGGTCCAAGTGGATGCTCTAACATGACCAACCTATTCCTGGATCTCAATGGCTTGAACTCAGGGAGGGGAGGCAGCCAGGAACATATGTTTGAGACCTCCACGAGGTGAAATACATGTCTTGTGCCCTTGAATCTCCTGGACCCTTCCTTTATATGAGTTCCCCCTTTTGGGTGGAAAGAGGTTAGTGATGCTTTCATGGGCCTTTTCCCTTGCATCTCTGCTTTGTACATGGAAGGAGGTTTGAAGAAGAGCAGCTGAGATGTGTGTTGGGTTGTTGGGTAGTTCTTCTCCCCTAGCTACCTCCTCCTGTCCTGGGGCTCTCTGGGGTCCCTCAGTACGTTTGCGGCCTCTCCAGTCCATGCAGTTCAGACCCTTGCTCGTTCAGAAGGGTTGTCCTTTGAAGACTTGAGGAAAATTGCTGCTCCGGGTGTTTGTGGTGTCTCGCAGAAGGCTTGTGGCAGGAATTCATGTGTGCTTCTTGAAGCTGCTTTGCTTGGCTCTACACGGAAGTCTCTAGAACAAGTTCACCTGCCTCCCTGAACCTCTCATCTGTTGGTGTTGAAGACATCTCTGGTACATGGGCAGCTGCCCAAAATGCAATCTCTGGGGGCAGGAAGAGGCTTTTGGCTGAGCTCAAAATGAAAATTAATTTGAAATAACTGGAGTCCTTTGAAGAAATAAAGGGTGGGTAGAGCAGATAAAATTTGGCTGGTGAGTAGCATCGTTTCGTCCTCCTCTGTATCTCTTCCTTGCCAGAGGTCAGACAGTATTTATGGTGACACATGGGTTGAGTGTGCTGGCTGTTTATGTTTGTGTGTATAAATACAAGTCCAATTACGGAGAGCTAGTGGAAATGAGCCTCAGGCAATTTCCTCATAATCCCTTGCGTAAATCTGTCTAATTTTGTCAACATGTCACAGTAGCATCTTCTTAGAAAGGAAAAAAAAAAGAATGGAAAGCTCTACACGTTGAGCTTTAATGGTATCAGCAGAATTGTCTGGGTGGTGGGGACAGGAGGTAGAAGGCAGGATGGTGACAGGATGGCCAAGCTTGCTGGCATCCAGGGCTTGGCAGACGTGAGCTCCATGGGAGATGGACTGGGGCTTGGAGCAGTTGAGGTCACCGTTAGCCAAGTACCTGCATGAATGGAAATTATTGTGCGAATCATAGAATGGTGGATATAAATGGCAAAAGCAGGAATTACTGCAGGGAAGTGCCATGCTCTTGGCCCTGTGGGTCACTGTGGTCTTACAGGGTGTTGTTGGTGCAGCTCAGTGGGCAGTGTCCCAACAGAGCTTGGAGCCACAGCTCGCAGTGTCTCTCACAACAAGCATTTGGGAAGAAGGTGTTTAAGCTCCGAAGCTCCACGGGCTTGTAGACGTCATCTTTCCTACAAGGGAGAGCTCTCGCTTGGATCCAGCCAGCAGGACTTCCAGCTTTGCTAATGAGGTGCTTCATCTTCAGCTGATGTGGTTCTCCGCTGGGAGCTGGAACAGAGGCTCTCCAGGAGCATCCACGCCTTGATGTCCCTGTCACGATGGGAAACATGAAAAGGGGCTTTTTTTATAAGGTCCCTGTCACAATGGGAAACATGAAAAGGGGCTTTTTTTATACTGAGTATTCAGGTTTCTGTTGCATCTGCTGTGCTTTATCGATTCACACTGCACTTCTCTTGGTGTGCTCCGGTGCTGCTGGCAGAACTGAGGAGCTTTGCAATCACACACGTCTTCCAAAACAACCCCTTCCACTCCCCAAGGAGGGGAAAAAAAATCCCTTGGGAGCTCTTCCCCTGTGCCACTCCAGCTGAAGTATCACCGCTCTGGCAGCCGCGTGGGATCTCAGGTGCAAAGCCTTGCTGTCACGCCGTGCTCTCCTCAGTGGTGGTACATGTCGGGACTCAGAGGGGTGTCTCCAGTGCCAGAGAGGCTCCACCTGAAACCCAAGGGAGAGGAGAAGCTCCAAACTCACCACAGGTGGACTCCTGTACCACAGCCTGGGTGCTGTGGGTCTCTGTGCTTGAGACCATGTCCTTGCCCATTCCTTGCCGTTCCCACCAGCACCGGCAGCGTTTTTGCAGCACCGGATGGGTCACACCTTCCTGACAGACCAGGTCAAGGTCTACCAAGGTGGATAAATTCAGCCGTGGCTTTTTGGTGCCAAAACAAGAGTCGGAATGCACCGATGCTGCCTCCTTGCAGTCGGTTGAGGTGACTCTTCTACCCGCCTGTCCTGCTGCTTGGTGGCTTGTGGGGTTTGCTGGTCCCTGTCCCCAGCCACGGATGCCTGAAGACGCAGGAGTTGCCATCAGCGTTGTCCTCTGCGTGGCTGTTGTGAACAGGTTTGGTCGCTGACCTCTGGTGACTGAGTTGTGAGAGCCAGAAGAGTGTCACCTCCTCCTTTGAAGGGTAGGATGGGCTTGTTAGGGTTTTTAAATCTCCAGGCTTTTCTCTCCGGAGCCTGGCTTCGAGCATTGGCTTTATTGCGATGAAAGGGCACTTTATGGATACTTCCCCTGTCATCTCGGGACCACCCCCTGGGCAGGCTGCTCTCTCCTGACTCGGGTTGATCCCGGGTCATTACCTGTGGCCTCTGCTGCCTCGACTCAGACCTCTCCTTCTGCGGCGTGAGGGGTTGGTGCAGCTCGGAGGGACATGAAAGTAAAATGGAGAGGGGGAAAGGAAATGGGAAAGCAGCAAGAGGGAGGGATGAGTTGAGAGATGAGAGCTGGACCAACCGCTCTCCTGAGGAGAAGGTTTTCCTCCGCTGCCCTGCTCTCCCCAGCAGTCGTCCTGTCCGAAGCTTGGATGGGAAAAACAAGTACGGAGAAGAAAATAGAGCCAAAAAAAGCCCCTCTTTGCAAAGGGGAGACCACTTAACCTTGAGCTGGCTTCTGTAGAAGAGTTTCTCAGGGGCTAAGGCTGGAAAGCTCCCACTTACAACTGCTGGCTCTCCTGCAGGAAACACCCCTTTGCAAATCCCCTCCTTATCCCTCACAAGAAAACCTTGGCAGTGTTTTCATTCCCATGTCCTGTCCCGGCAGGGCAAGAAAACCCAGTTGCCAGCGTTGGGGAGTTAGATGCTCCTGTGCTGCTGCGTTTCTGTTGTCGCTTATGGCAGGGACCCGGGAACAAGGCACCGTTCCCGGCCGTGTCGGTGTGTGCCCTTTATGTCCCTGTCTGTCGTGTGGCTCCTGGTTTTATTTCCTTTTTGGCCGTGGGAGCGGGGCCAGGCAGGATCCTGCCTCCCTGCCCTTTGTGGCGCCGCTGTTGTCCGCCCGGGGTGGCTCGTGGTGCCCGTCTCGACGTGCTGCCGTGATGCTCCTGCCTGTCTCTTCCTCTCTCTCTCTCTTTCTCTCTCTTTCACTCTCTCTCTCCATCCCGAGGGGTTTTCCCACCACTTCCCAGAAACGCCTTATCCATCCCGAGGGGTTTTTCCCACCACTTCCCAGAAACGCCTTATCGGACATAGGATCTGCCCCCTCCCTTTTTTTTGGCTGGCAGTGCTGGCATGGCAGGCAGGCGAGCTGGGGGTGCCGGCAGCAGCTCTCTCTTGGCGTGGGGGGGGGGTCCCACGTTGGACGTTGCCTGTGGGGACCTCTTGGCAACGTGGAGGGAGACACAGGGGGACAGCGGGGACACCCTGCTCCCTCGCCACCCCCTCCCTCCACTTCGGGTTTCTCACCTTTTCCTTTTCCTACGGCAGAGCTGGCTGGGGTCGACCGATCCCCCCGCCGGGGACGTCCGGAGGCCTCCAGCGTGGCCTAGAGCCGCTGACGGCGCCCTGTCTGCTTTTTTTTCCTTCCCAGAAAACGTCCATCTCCGCCCGGGGACGCTGCTGCACCTGAGAGGCTCGAAGCTCTGAAATACCAGCGGATAAAGAAGCCCAAAAAGTCATCCAAGGGCTCCTCGAAATCCAGAAAACAATCCAGTGAGTGCGAGGAAGGACCCCGCGGTCCCCAACGCCGTCCCCCTCTGTCACCCCTCCGGCGCCGGGGGGTGTCTCCAAGCCCGTTCCTGGATGCTGCCCTCACCCCCTGCACCCCGGAGGGATGGCCAACCCACAAGCTGTCCTTCCCCTGCTCCTTCCCTGCCTCCAAACTGCATTCCTCTTCCCATCCGTAGTGATTGGATGGAGCACCTCTGCTCCGAGGACAGGCTGAGGGAGCTGGGGTTGTTCAGCCTGGAGAAGAGGAGGCTCCGGGGAGACCTAATAGCAGCCTCCCAGTACCTGAAGGGAGCCTACAGGAAGGCTGGGGAGAGCCTGTTTAGAAAGGCCTGTAGTGACAGGACGAGGGGCAATGGCTTCAAGCTGGAGGGGAACAGATTTAGACTGGAGATGAGGAGAGGGTTCTTCACTGGGAGGGTGGTGGAGCACTGGAACAGGTTGCCCAGGGAGGTGGTTGAGGCCCCATCCCTGGAGATATTCAAGGAGAGGCTCGAGGAGGCCCTGGGCAACCTGGTCTAGTTGGGGTGTCCCTGCTGACTGCGGGGGGGGTTGGACTAGATGACTTTTGGAGGTCCCTTCTGGCCTGGGCAATTCTATGATTCTAATTCTACAATTTGGTTTAGATTTATTATTTTTTTCCTTTTCATTCCTATTTTTCTTTTATTTCTTTTTTTTTATTATTTCTATTTTTTTTCCTGTTTGTTTTTATTTCCTTATCCTGAGCGTTAGTTTAACTCTCCCCGATGCCCAACGGGCTCCCCTCTTGCCAAGCAGCCGGGTTTCGCTGAATTTTCACTGAATTTTAGAGTTGGAAGGGACCATAGGGATCATCTAGTCCAACTCCCCTGCTGAAGCAGGATTGCCTAGAGCTTGTCAGAGCATGTTACTCAGGAGCATCCAGGCGGGTCTTGAAAATCTCCAAGGAAGGGGACTCCACACCCTCCCTGGGCAGCCTGGTCCAGGGCTCTGCCACCCTCACCGTGAAGAAGTTTCTCCTCATATTTGAGTGGAACCTCTTATGTTCCAACTTGGGCCCGTTGCCCCTCGTCCCTGGAGGTGTGCAAAAGACGGGTTGATGTAGTGCTGGGAGGTATGGTTTAGTGATGATGCTCCTTGTTTGTTGTGTGGGTGTCTATTTTTGTCAGTTGGGTTGACGGTTGGACAAGATGATCTTTAAGGTCCCTTCCAACCTAGAAGATTCTGTGATTCTGTCCTCTCACTGGGAACCACTGAAAAGAGTCTGGCTCCCCCCTCCTGTTGGGGTTGGGGGCCAGCCTTGCCCTCGCCTGCCTTTTCTGGCACCCAGAGTAGTTTTGCCTGGTCCCATCTGACTTCTCTATTTTTTTTTTTTTTTTGGTGTCCCCTTCCCCAGACGGCTCTGCCTCCCAGGTTCAGCACCTTCCCAGCTCTCAGGTACTGTCGCCTGACGAAGCTGTCTGCCTCCGCAAGAAGAAGAGACACCCTCGTCAGGACCCCTTCGCCCGCCTCTCGGCCCTGAAGGACGACCTCTGCCACCGGCAGCTCCCCGAGGACCAGACAGCCATCCTCAACAGCGTGGACCACGACGACACCGGCGGCCACGCCACCTTGCTTTAGCCCAGCGCCGGCCCCAGAAGGTTAAACAGGAGGGGGGCGAAAGGGGGGGGGACCCCACATCGTGCCCCCCCGGGGGGACGGAGGCGATGGGAAAGCAATGGGGGACACCCCTACGCTGCCACCTCTGCCGGGGGGTTTGGTGGCTCGTGGTGGGGACGAGCTTGGGGGTGACCCTGGGGCAAGTTGTGGGGGGGGATGGCTGGGGCTTGGGGGCTCCTCGGATCTGCTTCTCCCCCCACCCCCCCCCAAAGGCTTGGGTGGGGTGGGAAAGCAGAGAAAGGGGGGGTGTGAGGTGGGGGGGGACGCGTTGCACCTCGGTTTTGGAAAAGGTCTCTCGGGTTAAAAGGCACGGACGGGGCTTTTGACATCTGCTCCTGCAGCGCGCGTTTTAGGGAGGAAAAGTGTGGAATCGAGCAGCTGGCCCTCGATCGCCAGAAGAAATTAAGTGACACAGGGTGTAATTAATTGACAAGAAACTTAACAACCCATATGGGAACTGGTAGTCCCATGAATCTGATTATGATAAAAAAACCACAACCAAATAATCCCAGGAAAGCTGTAACGGTGAAAATCTCCCTGCCTCCCCCTTCCCAGCCTCCTTTTATGTGAAGATAACAGCAACAAAACCATCCGTGACATCTTTCCTTACCTCTCAAAGAGAGAGAAAAAAAAACCACCAGAAAGACCCCAAGCCTCCGAGTTGGTCTGAGATGTGAGAAATCACCATTTACCTTGTGTTTAAACCTTGTCAAACCCGTACTCAGCACTGTGCGAGCACGCAGGTACGGGACTGGTATCATCCGAGGGTGGTTTTCTCCTTCCTTCCCTCCCTTCTTCCCCAAGTATGATGAGTGTCAGCTTTGACGAGGGTGGTTTTGATTAATTCTTCCTGACACTCCGTGTATCGCTGGTGTACTCCTGGGGGTTTCTTACCACGGTAACGTTTGTACTCTCTATCCGTAACGGCGAACTGGGGAAGATGCTGCTGCCCACAGGTGTGTGAGCCGAGGGGGTTTGGGCTGCCCTGGGTCCCCAAAAGCCTCTGTTGGCAGATGCTGAGCCCAGGAAAAAGCGGCTGGAAAATCCCCCCTCTGGCTCTGCGGATGGAGACGGATGGCTCCCGGGAGCGACCGCCCAAAGCTAAGCCCCAGCGTTTTCGCGTCCACTTGAAATGCGTTGCTGCTGGTTTCACTCTTTTTTTCCCTGTTCTGTGTGTGGTTTTTTTGGTTTTTTTGTTTTTGTTTTTTTTTTTGTCCCCACTCCAGCCCGCCGGGGTTGTGTCCTTCCCTTTGCCCCATCCGAGGAGACCCGCTGTCCCCCCTCTCGGTAACGCTGTTCTAACTCTTCACCAGAATGTATTTCCTCTTCAAAATACTTAGGGTAGGTTTTGGCGGCCGGTGGTTTTCTGGATTGCATAGGCCTTTTGATTTTCTTGGGTTTTTTTCCTTTTTTTTTCAAGCAGGAGAGGTGTTAGCCCGCTCTGAGAACAGCCGGGCTCGCTTTCCTGCTCTGCCTCCACTCTCTGACTGCGTGGCCTTGGGCAAGTCACTCGACCTCTCTGTGCCTCAGTTCTCCCATCTGTAAAATGGGGATAAAGTCATATTTGAGCACTTTGGACGAGCGCTCGGTCGCCTACAAGACTGCAAGCGCTACGTAAATGCTGAGTGCTAACACCAAGTGATCCCTACCTTTTAAAATATTTAGAGATTTCTTTTTTTTATTAATTATTATTATTATTTTTTGAAGTGGTAAAATCAACCGCTGCATCCAGGTTTGCACACTTCTTCCTCTGTGGTAAAGTGCTAAACCCTCCAGCCTGCCTGGGAATAAAAATAGCCAGTGTTTCATGTGGATGAGTGGATTCAGGCTGTAGAAGAAGCATCAAGGAGAGTCGAGGAGCCTGTAGGCATGTTTTTTGCCCCGGGCTCTCCATTTGCGTATGAAGCTTTTGTTTATTCCCAGGTAGAATTGCCAAGAGATTCTCCACAATCTCGCCTTTAATTCTGCTTTGCCTTGGTTATTGCTCTTGCTGCTGGTCCAACCTCCAAGGGCTTAGATGTTTGGAGAAAGACGTGAGCTCTCTCTCAGCTGGGATCCGGCTCTCCGACCGCGCCAAGCTTTTAAGGTCGGAGCCTTTTTTTATCGCTCTGCCTAAAAATACCTGATTTTAGAGGTTGTGCTTCCTTTTCCAGCGGGGACGCTTGGAAACCTGCCACCAAAAAAAAAAAAAGCCCACAAAAGCACCACCACCAACAAAAAAAACCCCAACCAAAAGCAGAGCGCCACGTCTTCTCCAGTCTCGAAGCCCTGACTTGGGTTTGAACCGCTTGACAATGAATCCTCTGAATCGATGACGAGATATTTCTGAGCTTTAACAACTTCGTGTAGGTGGTCTTCAAACCCTGAGCAGGTTTGTCTGGGGAAAGAGGGGGGGGGGGTTCTCCTAGAAATGCCTCTCTCTTTCCAGCCTGCACCAGGGCTTTTTTTATTGAGTACGTGACGAAGTGACCTGACGTAAGACCCTCAACTCTCAGAGTGAGAATTCAACTTCGCTAACAGCGTGACTGCGAAAATTTTTCCTTTGATTTGAGTGTGTTTTTAGGGATTTCCCTAGAACCTGCTCGGATCTGAATTGATTTAATGCCATTCGCCCGCGGGGCGAATAAAAAACCACCTCTGGCCTGGCTGAACCTTCAGCTCACCGGTAACTTCACCCCACAGACAGGTGACAATCGGGGCCGGGGGACACCCTGGTTTTGGTTTGGGGTTGGGGGAGGTGGGGGGGCACGGCGTGGAGGCTTTGTGGCCGTGGCTGACTTGTTCTTCCTTTCGCTCTGGTTGCCTCAACCTCTCTCTAACAGAAGGCTGTTTGTTCTTCTTTTTTTAATTATTATTTTTTATCATTTTGAGCGCTTTCCAAACTATTTATGGAGCCCGTTTGTATGGGCCAAGGCGGTGTCTTCAGGCTCTTGAGGTCGCTCCCCTCGGGTGACCGTGCCCCCCATCCTGGCTCAAGGAGCTCTAAGAGGACTTGGAGTGCAGGGAAGGTTGACGGAGCACGCCGGCTTGCTGGGTCAGTCTTTTGAGAGTTGTTTTCCTTTTGCAGGTGTTTTGAGCCGCTGGGCCCTCCCTGCTTTTCATGGTCTTCGACCTTTAGAGGCTGGAGCTGCAGCCCCTCTCTCTTTCAGCCACGCTGCTGGAGTGGGAAATCCCGCCCGGGCGCCTCGTGGAAGCGGCTCTTCCCTAAAAACCATCCTTAACTCCTTTCCCCGCTAGACCGAGTTAACCTTCCGATAGACTCAGGCCGTGCTTTGCCAGACGGGCTCTCACCTCTTGCTTTGGCAACCTCCTCGCTTCTCCCAACCCTCTGGTTTCCATGCCCTGCAGGGGGGTGGCTCCTCTCTCCTCCCGCGGACCTGGGACATCGAAGCCGTGTCAGACGATGCCAAACGCTTCCCCCATTTCATCCCTGGTCGAACTCCGTTTCGCTTTGGTGGTTTGCAAACACAGCTGCTGCTGCTGCTGCTGCTTCATTATTTTCATTTTTATTTTTATTTTTTATTTTTATTTTTTCCTTTCATGCTGCAAAATATATCTTGATTTTTATCTTCCTGGGCCAAACTCTCTCGTTTTTGTAAGCTTCTCTGAGGTAGACGGCTCTTTATCGTGGTTCTTCCATGCTTGGTGCAAGAACAACGTGTTCCAGCAGGTCCCTTGGAAAAATCCCGGGCCACGGTGGAAAAAAATACCACCAAATTGCACAAATATCTGTCCCTGGACTCCGCCAAGGCGTCACCACGGTGGGCACCAGCCCAGCTTCGGGTGGTCCTTGCAAGGTGGATGCGGTGGGGACTCTCCAGCGCCGTTTTTGTGCCGCCGTAGGGGGGGTGTTGGAGGATTTGGCCACCCCCAGCCAGGGGAGGGAACATGGAGAGGTGGGTACGGGGGTGTCGCTGAGATCCCTTGGAAAGAGGGGGTGGTCGTGGGGTGCCATCCCTCGCACCTTCTCCGCCAAACCCATCCCCTTGCAGGCAGGCGGTGGGGCTTTGCCTGGTTTTTCCAGCAGGAGCTGGTTGAAACCACCTATTTTTAAGAAGTTTGGTTTTTTGTGATGTTGAACGTGAGTGAAAACGCAATGTAATCCAGTGGGGAGAGAGGGGAGCCTTTAGGGGTTGAGGCACCATCCCTGGAGGTGTTCAAAAGACGGGTTGATGAAGTGCTGGGAGGTCTGGTTTAGTGATGATGCTCCTTGTTTGTTGTGCGGGTGTCTATTTTTGTCAGTGAGGTTGACGGTTGGACAAGATGATCTTTAAGGTCCCTTCCAACCTAGAAGATTGATCCTGTGATTCTGGTTGGGGCAGGGGGCTCCATTCCTGTCCCTGCTGTTAACTGGCACTTGGAGTGATGGGTTTGTAGGATGGGGGGGGAGTGGAGGGTTCCAGGGTCTCTCTGGCTGCATGTGCGTAGGTTTTCTCCCCCCCAGTGCAGAATGGTCCCCGTTGAGCTGGTAGGATGATGGTAGGCTGATGGGAGTAATGGTAGGATGATGGGGATGATGGTAGGATGATGGGGATGATGACCATCGCGAGCGGGCGATGGTTTGCCCCCAGGTAGGACACTCACTGTCACCACCGAGTGTCGGTCACTCGTGGCTCTGTTTTGGGGTGCTGGTGGGCTCCAGCCCTTCATCCCCTCATCAGCTGGTTCAGCAGGAAGGCTGGAGGTGGAGGTGGTTGGCTGTAGCAATAGGAAGGCAATATAAAGGGAATAACAGCTTTGCTGTACTTACCTCCAGGGGTCTTGAGGGCTCAGGGTTTGTGCTCAGCGCCATCCCAGCAGGGCTGAGCTGTGTCTTGTGGCATCTGGAGACTTTTTGCTGCTGGTATCTCCTGGTTTGCATGAGGACACAACCTGCTTGGCCTTTCGGTTTCTCCTCCTGCTTCAGGCAGGGATGTAGATTTGGGGATTTCTCTGAGTTTCGGTTTGGTTTCAGCTGTAGCTCTTGGCTTTTGGGGGGG